TTTATTTGCTTGCGCCCATTGATGAACATTGACAAAGAAGAGCTCAGGTAAAGCAGATACATGTGCTGCTGCAGCAGAATGCTGCTCCGTGCAAGGTTATGTTTCTGCACTTAAAGGAGGTTATTGAAGCCTTTGAACTCGCTCCAAGTCTTGTTGAAATCATGGTAGAGTCCCTCTGGCTGGCATAGCGGGAACTGTACAGGCTCCTTGTGCTCCAGTGCAGCAGCCTAGATCCATGAGAGAGCAGTAAATACCATTTTTCATCACTGTTTCTCATCAGAATTCCCTCCCATTTTCAGAGAGGAGAAAAAAAGGGGAAAAAAAGTCTTGCTAGTCTTGCTACTTTCTACTGGAGGCATTTTTATAAAGAATTCTTTTTTAACATCAGTAAAACTCAAGATTTCTCCTTGTTGAAAACCACTGTGATGATGGAAAGCTTTTTTCTGGTTTGATAATGAGGTATATTTTTCACCCTTACTCTCCTGACTCTTTAAATAGCTTTTATTAGTATAATCTATACTCTTGATCTTGCTTCCCACGCACAGAGGAGAAACATATCCCATAGAGAATTGTGTTTGTATGCATTTAATAGTTACTATGAGTTTTATTACTGCATTTCATACTAAGCTTTAAAAAAAATTAAACATGCATTGCCCCCCTAGAAAAGATGCTGCACACTTGCTAAGTGAGTATTACCTTACCTCCAAGAAGGCTCACTGAGCAAAAACATTGTAATTCAGCTGGCAGATGTGTGAAAGAATTTAACCTGTAGTTAATGCATCAAGGCCTTTAATGAGGATCTAGCATGAGAAAAAAAATAAGGCTTAATATTACCATATGCTCACCAGCTTGAAGTTCAGCCCCACCAAGTGAGACAATGTAATGTACTTTGAGTCCGAATTGCATTTAAAACGCTTCACATAAAAGCAGTTATGCACCTAACCAGATGTATCTGGAAGAGCACCCATTTTGTCCATATTGACCTGAAATTATGGTCAGCTCTGCCAGTACAAAGGCAACCTTCATTAAAAGGGACTTGGTTTATTCCCATATAATAGATAGAATGTTTTACATTTCGTAAATTAGTCTTTAACTTGGCCTGAACTATCTCTCTTTTATGAATAGTTCAGACATGAGCTGGGAATACTCATTTCTCTGGCATTTATTTGGAAATCACAGCTCATGATCACATCAGTTGCTAATATCTCAAACAGCATGCTTTTATGCATCTTGTTTACGTAGGTATTTTTTTAATATCATTGCTGTTCATTAGGCTTTATATACTATGATTAATACCCCTTCTCCTCAGCAATTAAGTAATTCATCAGATGATAGACATTACTGTACAGGACCACCACACACTGAAAAATTAGGCTCACTTCAACAGAAGCAAGTATCTCTGTGCTAATTATCACCAGTGATAGTCTTTCTTTCTAGAAAGATAATGAGGTAGATTTTACTTTCAATAACACTGATGTAAATGCATAATAATTCTGGCACATCCGCAATGTGATGCTTCCAGATTTACATAGCCATAGCTGGACTGAGTTTATCTAGTAGAACAGATTTCTTGTCCCTGCCTGGATCCAGAACAGCTGCCCAGACCCGGAACAGCTGCCCTCGGCTGTAGAGCTGACTTCAAGCTTAGGGACAAAATCTTTCACCTGTGATCTGAGGCACAAGTTCAGTGATTTTTTTAATGTGGCCCATTGTGTCTAACAAATAATTATTTTTTTAAATAAATGTTCCATGCTTTCCACCTCCTCAGCTGATGAAAAGCGATAGAGGAAAGGGAACGCTTCTGGCAGTCAGAAATCTGACTCCAGGGATACAAGCAAAACTCATTGCCGTATTGCTCCTAAAGTATGGAATTGTGAGAGAGGAATTTATTGGGGCTAGTCACTGTTAAATTGAGATGTGGTAAAATTTTGCTTGCCATCATTTAGCTTATCAAAAAAAAGGATGATGTGTTTCCACATGGATTTTGTTTTCCCTTTTTGACACTTAAGAGTCCCCTGAAATACAAAGATGAAACCACTCTGCTACTCTTGAAATACTTTACAAAGCAATTCCCTGAGTGTTGCCACAGACTAAGGATGAAGACTCGGCACAGATTTTCATTTTTATAGAGTCTTTGTTATAGTTCTTCACAAGATATCACTAAGAAAAGAACTGGAATTATGGGTTGCAATGGAAAGTTAGAGAGCAGTGATGTTATTTGCAATGGAGTTTAGTTGAATCTGCTTATTTCAGCAGCCACTGTTCAGCTGCAGGTATGACTGTCCCATGCAAATCACTAGTCATGAGTTTCAGTGGCACTTTGGCTATGCAAGACGAGATGAACCCAACCAATTATAATCACAGCTTCCCTCCTCTGCAGTAGAAATTTGTGCTGTGACACATGATACCAGCTGTCGGACACTGGCTACTGTAATAAAAGTTAATTTGCAGGATGGTATGGGCTGCGTTAATTTTCAACGTGGCAAAATGCTAACAGTTGACCCAACCTTCGGCCAGTGTTGTTTCATCAGCAAACTGAAAAAGGAAGTAAGTCATGAGTCATATAAAATGCTGTAGATGATAGAGAATTATTTAGATTAGTCAAAGCCACAGGAGTCTGGAGGTATATTAGAGTAACTTAAGAACATGAAGCTGCTGCACAGTGGCAGCTGAAATTCTTTGTAGCTAAAAAAATAAAAAAGAGATTAAGGCATTTACCTGGAAAGACGGTACAATTTATACAAAGTGAAATAGCTTCACCAAGGGACTGAAAGAACCTTCCATGGCCTTGCCTCCCCTCTTCCTCTGCCCCTCCCCCCCCCGCCCCCAGTCCTCCAGAATATTGTACAGCCTGCTCACTAGGAAACCTTGCAGGAATTATGGATGGTTTAGGTTAAATTTCTGTGTGATATCAGGTAGATAAGGGATTAAAACCCAAGCCTCTGATATTTCACTGAGTACCCGCAGTAAGCCCTTGGACTTTGAATTTTGGTTTTATGCAAGAAAAGAAAGAGCATGTGGAGCAGCCTTATTGCAAAGGGCACCCTGGGTGGAACCTGATCCATCAAGCAAGCTCTTGCTGAGCCCCTGAGGGGGCACGAGCAGATTATTAAACTGTTGGATCCCTTCCAGGACACTAGCTGGGTATCCCATTGCCCAGGACATGTCGTGATGTGTGACCAGGCACCCAGTCATGAGACCAAAAAGTCAAGAGAGATGGAGCGGCTCTCAGATTTTGGGCTCCCTTTAAATCCCAGGTTCACTTTTGTATCCCACTCCAAGATACCCTTATCAAAGTCAAAGACCCAGAGAGGTAAGGAGTAATAGTCCATTTCTCAAACAGGTTACCAGAGCTTATACCCCTCCCGTGATGCTGTTACAAGATGGCCATCCTCTAGAGTTCAAAACAGTGTTCCAACTGAACTTTGACTTCAAAACAGGCTTGTGGAGTTTTTTAAGCCATGGTCAGAAATCTGCAACACATGCAGCTAGGGTCCCCCAAATGACAGTGCTAGGTATGAAAAAATATTCAGATGGACACTCTGGGCTGCTGCTCTAAGCAGCATGGCTGAAATTCACAGCCCAAGGGAAGGGACATAGGCAGGGTCCATGGGTAGCATCTCCTGTCTCCCCCAGGGAGGTTAGACTGACACGGTTTCTGTTTGAAGGCTGGTTACCAGAGAAGAGGTTTGGTATGGGACAAACACTCAAAACGGTGTCACTAGTTACCTGCAATTTTCTGTCACAGTGTGCTCATTCATCTGCACTAAGCAATAGATTAATTGAAACAAGGTGGTTTTTTGAGATCAAGAGCCAGAAATGGAGTGGTAGAAAGACTATGGCAAGCACAGCCGACTGCTTTAATTGAAAATCCAGTGGTGAGAGAAAAATCACTAAGAAAAACAAATCTTGATTAGTTTCCCCATCATGTTTTCTCTCCAAAATGGGGATAAAGCACACACCTGAATTTTTCTAACTGAAAGCCAGTGTCATTTCAAGCAAATAGCCCGCTACTCACACAAAAGCTCTTCAGATAGATAGTGCAACATCAAACAGGAGACCCAGCAGCAATCAGCTTAACTAAGCACCCCTTTGAGAGCAAGTCTTTAGGGAGAGCCAGCTGAGCCATAAAATCTGCTGGGGATGAATGACATCAATGCAATTTACTGGCTTTCTTCAAATGAAGACCTTAGCGTAAGGAAATGATTTAAGAGACAACTAAACTCTGCTAGAGTCATAATTAGTAAATAATAGGTTCCACTACACATATTGGTGTATACAACTAATTCAGGATAATGACAGAACAAGCTCTCCTTTTTTTCCCCAAAACCATTTTATTAACTTTACTTATGAATTCATATTTAGAAAATATTGTAGGTGAAATTAATTGAAATTCAGACGTGGCTTAAATACAAAACATAAAAGAAGGTGCAATAATATCACCATAGGCATAATCTACCATAAGAAATACAATAGTGCCTCAAAAGAGGGATTACACGAGATTTGCAGAAGCTTCTGCTTTTCTGCTTTAACAGCCACCGTATAAACACAAATATCAAGATCCTCAGCAGATGTAATCAGCATAGCTTCATTAAAATCAATAAAAATATGCTGATTTATGCCATACGAGGATCTGGAGGAACTTAGCAGAAATTTCAAATGTCATGAAAAAGTAATGGGTACATTTTCATTTTAATACTCCAGCAGCTTATTCATTGCCTTTGTCAGAGTGTTTATCAAAGTATCCCTATTCCCAATTTTCTCTTGCGGGATGAGCCAGATTTAAGTTTATACTTCTTTTACTGTTATGAAGGCTTCTAAAGGCCTTGACTATCAACATAACCATAAAGGACAGTCTCCTTAATGATAGTACCAAAGTGTGTAAAATGGCAGGGCAATAAACCTCTAAACACACTTTTGAAAGGTTCCTTTTCTTTAGCAAGCAGAGGATGCCAAAAAAATCCATGGTAGAGATTTAGCTTTGTACTCTCCTTAGTTTTACTAAGACAAATGATTTTTCAAATCTTAATTGATTTGTAACAACTGATATATTCTCCCAAGGCAGTAGTAACATTCCCCCATAAAAACATGGAAATCTAAATACCTGGCTTTGCCAAAGTATTACTGCAAAGACAACAGAGCAGAAGAACCAAACTTAGGTTCATCCTTCTTCTATTAAATGCAGTTCTTTATAAAAAGTAAGTTGGAAGTAAAAAGCAGTTCTGAAAGACAGAACTATGTCGGTGTATAAAACTGTGTGGAAACTATCTTACAAAAGAAGAAAGTGGAATCAAAAGGTGTTTCAAACATTCAAGTGCACATCAGCTTTAAGACTTCGGGTTATAAATCTGAGGTTTTTTAATCAGTTTTCTCATCATTTTTCTGCGGAATACATTTGTTGGCTTGTTGATTCTTGGTTTCTGAGTCCCTGCTAAGAAAACAAAGGAAGCAGTTAGCGAAAGAGTATGACAAAACTGTTACTACTCTTTATTGTTTGGTTTGTTTTGGTTTTCATGTTATGCTGTTTAAGCAGTTAATCCAATAATAACAAACATATCAGAAACTGTAAAATGTGTTCTGGACACCCTATTCTCACACACTGTAAGGTCTCCAATGTGTCCACCTTTGGCACTGGAGTCCTACTTTGCTGTTTTTTTCCTGAGCAAGCATCAAAGTCTTTTCTAGCTGTCCTGCAGTGACAGCAGAACGGAAGTAAACACACTGCTCTATCTGAAAAAAAAAAAAAAACCAAACCAAAAAAAAACCCTATTACTGCATTTCTCTGAACAACAGTGGGGTAAAGTCTAAATGTAACCAGTGGTTGTGGGAGACGAAAAGGTAAAATGATTTGGGTTTCTGCACAGAACTGGGTTTCACAAAGAAGCTGCAGAGTGGCCAAAGACAGTCAGGGTTATCTCCAGAAATGCTTATGAAGGCTGTATGAAACGTGTGAGTGCAGTTCAGAAAACAAGTACTTTGCAAATTTGACTAAAAATCTTTGTCTTTATGCTACCTATTTACCAGCACGCAGAGGCCCTGTAGCCAGTTCCCAGTCCTTTCGCTGTCACCCCAACATATTTATTTTCTTTTCCAATATAAACTTTTTAAAATGAAATTAATCAGAAACCTTTTCACTCCAAAACCTATAGATCAATTTCAACAGTAGTTGTATATTTGCACAGGGAACGTCAAATGAATTCAGCTTGAGACTCCAAAAGGTAACATGAAAGATGCTGGGGAGGGAATTATGGGAGTGGGAGAGGAGTGGCTTAAGTTGCCTGAAAGATTTGCTTAATGTTCCTGTACACTCCCAAGCTATAGAAATGAATATGTATAGCACAACATTAATTAGTACTAATTATGCCTTTAACTATGGGCTTTGGTTGTACCAAGCCTTACTGAACTGTGAAATCCACAAGTTGGTGAAAAAGCTTATAACCGATCCTTTACTTTCTGGCTATCTGGTGCTCTAGTTAGGAGACTGGCAGCATTTCCTTAACTTCTTTCTTCCATGAAAAGAGTGAGGAAGGGAAAAACCCCAGGTGGCTCTGGCTGGGTGTGGGCAGGGGCAGAGCACGGAGGTGAGACGCTGAAGAGGCAGTTTCCTTCCTCCTCTCTCTCTGCACACTTAGGCTGGAGCCTGGCCCTACCACTTCCCAGGTGGTAATAGATGCAAATTAGATAATCACGAGCATCTCAGATAGACAGCATTCTATTAAAGGCTCTCTTATAATACTAAAATGGCAGAGACACACTCAGACTTGTCACCCACAGAAATATTACTGTCATGACTAACTGGCAGACAACATTTTTACTTCTGAGGACTGTGCTCAGGGTGCAGTCCTTGCCCCAGCCCTGGATTTCCAGCCCAGAACTGAAGAATCATCTCCTGACTTAAGCCTTCTGACTACACATAATAAATACTGAAGTACCCGGATTTTGTATATATCTCATGTTTGAAACAGAGCTACTTTTTGGCTGGTTTTGGGTTTTTTTTTCATTTTCAAAGGCAATGTACATGCTAGATACAGCCTTAAATTTTTTTCCCGTTAGTATCAATTTTTTAAATATTGTGCTGTGTCTGCTTCCTGAGTGCTCTGGGGATCAACATATAATTATGCTTTTCTCTCTTTCATTGATTTACATATCAAATGAATTAAACCAGAGTATTAAAACTTGCAATAGCTGGCATGAACGTATGACTGCAGGTAAAAAAGCACAACTGTTTTGACTTACAAGCACAGCCAGTAGCTGATTTGAATAAAACCATTAAAAAAAATCATTCCCAACCCTTGCCCCCACAGCCACAGAAACGGTTGACTCAGCACAATTGCTGAGGCAGAAATCTTTAGTAATGGGAGTGGGGAATGGGAACAGGCACCAGGGAATCAAGGGAGGATGGTAACTGCTGAAAACGTGAAGGAAAAAAGTAAACTGATTTCACAACTCGCTTTAATCCTACTTAAAAATATCTAGAAGAAAATGATATCTTAATTAGTGTCCATGCTGGTACTGAACAGTTTAAAGACCCATTCCTTGTGGGCTCTAGGAAGTTAATTAGTCTTTTTGTGTGCCCTTCTCTACACTTCATTCAAAAATGGTGTAACCACCTTGCATCGCACTGTTCTTGTCAGAAGGATTTAGTGTTGCATCTCAGTTTTGCCTGCCTTTGAAAACACTGAGTCCAAAATGCAAAAAGCATATGCCTGTAGCAAGCCAAGGTGAGTAAAATAACACTGAACACCTGTTACTGGTATTTGGATTGCTTTACCTGCTTGTGACTGACAAAAATACAAAAAACTCTTACCTTTTCTGCAGACATTGTAGCAATCTGTTTCAGTAACAAAGTTATTGGCATTTCCACCACAGCCCGTATATTTGAACTCTTTACATGATTTAGTCTTGCTGTCATAGTAATAGCGAGGCACAGAAGAAGAACACAGTCCTTCATCCTTTGGGCTATAGCATAGCAAGGGACCAGCTTGAGGGGAAAAAAAAAAGAGAGAGAAAGACAAATCACATAAATGTAATCTCTATGCCTGGCTTCTTAAAATTTACCTTGCAACAAATTTTGTGGCTAAACAGCCCTTGTTCCCATTCAATTGACATGACTGTTACCGATGACTTCAAAGACTTACTACATCTTATTCCTGTGAGTTAGGAATTTGAGAAAGCAACAGACAGTCCCAGAAAATAGGATTACTATCCCACTAGTGAAATTCATCAGCTTTTCCTATTTGTGGTTCCATCCATATGACAGCCAAGATATTTACATAGTCTGGCCAGAAGTCTTATTCCATATATATAGGAATATAACAATTCCAGTGGAACTACCTCTGTAGAGGAAAAAGGCACTGTTTTGTTTATCCTTGCTATGATTTTGCTAGCAAATCCTGCCTGCTTGCAGCAAAAAGTACAAACGCCACCACTTCCCTCATAAGAATCACGTTTCATTTTGCCTCAACCAAATTTTACCTTTCTTGGTGGAAACCTTTTATCAATTTATTGGATGTGCAACAGAGAAATTAAAAATAATTCAGCACTCACCTAAGAAACACTGACAATCTGTCATCAGCCAAAAATAACTGTCTCATCAAGCACTAATAAAGCTTAGGCAGTGACAGCTTTTATACATTCTGGTAGATCTCTCTTCTTCCAAGATCCTACCTCACACTGGATATTAACCTGGTATTTATGACAACACTTAGCTATAGTCACCTGCTCATAATTACCACCTCTCTTCTTTCAAGCTCATATGGAGAGACAGTGAAGAGTCATGTCAGGCAAAAAACTTTTATCAGAAGTTGAGCTGGCGAGTGCCAAAACCCCAAGCCACCTAACACCATCTCTCAGGCCTGAATTTTAGAAAGGCCCCTCCGCTTTATATTACAGTATCGCTGCCCCGAACATGACTGCCACGTCCCGTACATCTGCCTCAACACAGATCTCCAACCTTATTTCCCTTGAGATTATGCATGTACAGCTCTCTAGAAGTCAAGAGATCGGTTGAGTGTAGCTGTGGGCATATTTAAGGTCACTGTTAAACTAACACAGCATTTTTGCTCTTTCAGTAACAGCAGAGAGAAGTGACACCTGAAAGTCTGCAGACAATATAAACATCTGCTTCACAGAAGTCTTCAAAGACACCACTGTATGGGTATCCAGAGCAAAATATCAAATAAAGTATCATCTTCATATCGCTTTCAAACCATCTAGTTTATTAAAAATTTGGAACAACCATTACTTTTCTCTGGCAGACAGTGGTCCACACAAGACTGCAAATCTCTGAAGTTGTTGCCATTTCCGTAACAGCCACCGTAGATGAACTCCTCACACCTCATCGAGCTCAAGTTAAAGGCGTATCTTTTTAGATGACTCCTGCAAGGTCCTCCATCAGCCTCCATCCGGCATAATTTGGGCACTTCTGCAAACAAAAAAATTTCATCCTCTGTAAAACCAACCCTTCATGCTATGCTCCCCATACTGAGCACCACGGTAAGTGGAGACAAAAAGCTATTACTGCGGTCGCAGGCAAGTCCCAGCTTGTCCCAGTACCTGCAGTCTTTAATAAAGTGGGATAAGATTTACAGGAGGAATCTGATGCATTAATTAGCAGCTAGGTGTAATACGAAATTGCATTTAAAATATTAATAGTTAAATTCCGCACGTCACCTCTGAGACGGCTCGCCCCGGCTTCTCTGCGTAAAACCGGCATCGGCGAGAAGCTGCAGCGAGCAGGAGGGACGGACGGGGCGGGCGCGAAGCGTCCCGCAAGCGGCGCAGCCTCCCCCGTGCTCCCACAGCCCCCTCCAGCCCCCTGCCAGCCCCGGGGAACCGGTCCCCCGACTCACTCTTGATGGTCCAGCAGCTCTTCTCGCAGTCGTCGAGGGTGAGGAAGTTGTTGGCGTTGCCGTGGCAGCCCCCGTAGGTGAACTCCTGGCAGCTCTGCGTGTACCTGTCGTAGTACCAGCGCGGCACCAGGGCGCGGCAGGGGCCGTCATCGGGGGGCAGCAGGCAGGCGCGCTGCTTCTCTGCGGGAGACACCAGCGACGGGGGCTGAAGCCACCTCGGCGGCGGAGGCGGCCCCGGCCCCGGCCC